ATAGCAAAGGCCAAGAGAGGGTGGAGGGAGAGGGGGGAGGGTCTTCAGGTTCCTCAGAGTTCCCCTGGGGTGAGGGGCTGTGAATCCAGCAGTACGAGTAGATGACACAATTTTCAAACCCCACCGGATCATCGCTGAAAGTACTATTTTCTTCTGTAAATCCGAACGCACAGATCTGCAGCTGATGGGGCTGGAACAGGAGGCTGCCATAAATGTCAAACTCTCAACTCCAAAGTACCCCACAGAGATCCAGAAAGACAGGTCTTCGTAACATCGGTCTCTCTCAGCTAGAGCCGATGTTCTCAGGCATGTGAGCCCTGTCATAGAAAACTGCATGAAAACAGGAATGAACAGAGTTATAGAATCTCTGAGCCTGGAGGTAAATCGGAGTTCATTTTAGTCCCTTGTTCTCAAAACACGGTCCAAGATGGGTACCACCTGGGAGCTTGTTAGAAATGCAGAGTCTCAGGGGCGCCTCAGTCCATAGAGCATGCGATGCTTGATCTGGGGGTGGTGAGTTCGAGCCCCACCTTGCACATAGAGATTACTTGAAAAAAATTAACAAACAAACAAAAAGAAATGCAGAGTCTCAGGCCCTAGAGGAACCTGATGAATCAGAATTGCATTTAGCAAGATCCCTGGTATATATATACCACAACTTTTTTATCACTCATCTGTTGATAGATTGATTGATTCCATGTCTTGGCTACTGTGAATAATGCTGCAAAAAACATGAGGGTCTCGTTGAGATCCGATTTTCATCTCCTTTGAATCTGTACCCAGAAGTGGGATTGCTGGATCATAGGGTAGTTCTATTTTTAATTTTTTCAGGATCTTCCATTCAGTCTTCCACAATTAGAAAAGGTTAGCTGCACCAATTTACATTCTGACCAACAGTGCACAAGGGTTCCCTTATCTCTACACCCAAAAGTTCCACACACACACACACACACACACCACAGTGGAATATTATTCAGCCATGAGAGAGAAGGAGGGCCTGCCATTTGCCACAACATGGATGGAACTTGAGGGCATTATCCTAGGTGAAATAAGTCAGACAGAGAAAGACAAATACTATATGATCTTACTTATATGTGGAATCTAAAAAAGCCAAACTCATAAAAACAGGGAGTAGAATGGTTACCAGAGGCTGGGGTGGGGGAATCTGGGAGATGTTATTTAAGGAGACAAACTTGGAACAAGTAGGTAAGTCTTGGAGATCCAGTGTGCAGCATAGAGATTAAAGACAGCAATTCTGTATCATAAACTTCAAAGTTGCTAAGAGACTAGATCTTAATTGTTCCCATCACACAAAAAAAATAAAATAATTACATGACCTGGTAGAGATGCCACGTGACTCCAGAGTGGTAATCATATTGCAAAATATTAATGTATCAGATGAACACATTGTACACCTTAAATTTATATGCCAATTATATCCCAAAAATAAATTTACAAAGAAATAAACAAGATTCCCCGGGTGATTTGAGAAACGCTGTCATGGTCTAACACCTTTACCTGCATTGGCAGGCAAGGAAAGTGAGGATCAGAGGGTGTGGTTTGTCCCGCATCACACAGCCTGTCAGGAGCAAAGCCTAGACAAGGACCTGGGCTTCTTTGCTGCTAGTCCTTCCTATTTTATGGCTCTGTGTTTTGGCACATTCGGTTCCCTCCTCCTGGACTGCCCTCTGCTGTCCCCTCTGCAAAACGTCGATGTGACCTTCAGGACACAGCGGGATGCTACCTCTCTACAAAGTCTTCCTCTCGGTGGCCCCCAGAAACCCCTTTGGTGGCAGAGCATGGGTTGCTGTGTATTTATAGTACTGTCTTTTGTAACCTACTGTCCCCACAAAAGACCTGTACAGACTTTGGCAAAGAATTCAAAGCTTTCCGCAAGAGGAAGGCATTTGCTGCAAAAGATCAGTAAGTGCAGGAGAAATGTTCGGTGTGCTAATTGCATCCATCAAGGTCCAGGCAGGAAAAGAGAGCCCATCTCAGTTGGTTCTTGGGATTTGAATTAAGGGGCTATTTATAGAGGTGGGGGACAAGCTTAAGGACACCGGCAGAAGATGCTGAGGGACCCAGGAACTAGCATCCCTAGTTTCTGCCTTAAAGCAGCAAAGACAGGAGTCCGGTGTCCAAGCCCAGGGAGGGATGGAGCCATGGGTGAAGGGTTTGGGGGAGTGACACAGTCATGGGTCAGACTGAGATGCAAAGCATGGAGAGAGCTGAGACCTGCCCTGTTCCCTCTCTCTTCCAGACCTCTGACTTCCTGTCCTACTGCCCTTTAGCTGAGCCCAACTGCAGATGAGGAAATTGAGTCACGGAGTGCCCAAGGTCACACAGTGGGCAAGTCAGGATTCAACGCAGGCCAGGTGGCCCCAGAGTCCATGCCCTTAACCTCACACAGTTTCCTGCTTTTTGTTCATTCCCTCCCTCAACAGTGATCTCCTAGGTGCCACTTGATATTCCAGACACTGCGGTTTCCAAATTCTGGGTTTTCCAAACTCTTTCTAGCAACACTTTAGTAATCAGAATGCATCAATCACCAGCAGCGGATGGACAGCCAGGGAGAAGAAAGGCCCAGGAGTTCCGAGCAGCCTTGCAGTCATGCTGTTCCCGGAGCCTCTGCTGGGTCCCAGGTCACCAGGAGGGACCTTGAGCCACGGGCGGGCACCTGTGGGGGTGGAGGCCTGGCCTAGCGTCATGTGGCACGCTGGCTGGCTGGGCAGGTGTAAGGTCTGAAGTCCACCGCTGTGGGAATTCTCACCCCTGCCAACGGCCCCCAGTCTGGGACATCCTCAGACTGCTACCAGGGGAGTGACACTGGTGTCCCCAGGCGGTCCCCCCTCTCCAAACCGTCTTCCCCTACTCCGCACGGGAGTCACCTGCCCTGTCTCCCTCATTTTACAGAGGCAAACTGAGACACAAGGAGGACACGGGTTCGCTGAGGGTCACACACCAGGCAGGAGCTAAGCCATGTCAGAACTTAGGTCATGGTTCCAGCTCCCAGCCCAGGGCCCCTCCCCGCCTCCGCAGGCTGAGTCCGGGAAGCAGATGCCCCTGGCGCAGGGGGAGACCTTGCCTGCTGCCAGGCTTTGTCCTTGCCCTCGGCTCGGCCTGGAGTGGCTCCTCCAGAGGCTGGCTCCTGCTCATCTTTGGGGTCTCAGCTCAGCACGTTACCTCAGAGAAGCCTTCCTGGACCATCGTTTTGGAATGGCATCCACAGATCTGGATTCAAATCCCTGCTGGGTGACGGTGACCAAAATCACTTCACCTCCCTGAACCTCAGATCCTTCAGCTAAAATGAGACAGAGACACATGCATTAGAGGGCCGAGAGGTATATGCACAATCAGCGCGGGGTCCAGCACAGGGCAGGGGCTCACAGCTCCTGATTTCCTGCCCCTTCCCGCCCCATGCTGCAGGGATCACGGGATTCCGCAGCCTCAGTCCTGCCCTCAGGAGCTCCCAGGCTGGGGCCGAGGGTGGTGTGCAAGGGACCCCCAACAAATCTCAACCCAAAGGACACCAACAACAGGGGACAGAGGAGCAGAGAGATCCAGACTATAGGCTTCCCTGTGTTCCACGGCAGTGGGGGCGGTGGGGTGGAGTTCTGATCTTAACCAATCCCAGTGCCTTTTATGACCCATTGGGAAGAAACTGTTACTCCTGCCACATTTGATCTGTTGAGGTGATCACAGAGACCCAAGCCAGTGTCAGGGGGAGGATACAGAGACTCCACCTTTTGATGGAAAAGAGTATAAAAGAATTTGTGGACATATTTTTAAAGGACCACAGTTACAAAAAAGCAGAGTGGTTACTGCTATGATGGAGAAAATGCAGATATTCTGGGACCTCAGCAGAGGACCTCTCTCTAATCCGGGGAAATGTGGGGGTGATCAGGGAAGGCTTCCTGGAGGTGGGGGCAGAACAAAATTCACAAATATAGGATCTCTGGGAGGGGGGAGAGAGGGGAGGAATCCCTATGAATTAAGCACAATCCTTATTATAAATTTTGTTTCCTCAATGAAATTTTATTATCTTTACTTACTGCGAATACAACATGTCCCCCAAGAAAATAAAAATTTTAAATACCAACAAACAAAACGATTTTTTAAACACTCCGGCCCATCTAAACAGAGACAATCCCTCATAACTCCTTGCTAAAAATTTTCCAGGCTGGCAAACATTGGTACAGAATTTCACTATACGGTGTCATTGGAAACTGCCCCTCATGAGCATCTTTCCAGATCAAGAAATACATTTATTTCTGCAGCCTCACTTTTAAATGTACCATAGTTAATTTGGCCAGTGTCCTCTTGCTGGACCCTGTAGGTTGGGTCCCGCTGCTTGCCTGCCTGCTCCATGCAGCGCAGCGATGGGCACCTTGGTGAAGTGGCGTATTTGCACACTGATGTCAGGATGTACTGACGTTCCAGAAGCAGGACTTCAGGGTTACCAGGCATGCAAGCGTTTGAAGATTTACCAAGTTGCCTTCCAGAAAATGTTACCACCAGCAAGGTTTGAGAAAGCCTGGTTTCCCACGGGGGCATGGCAGAAAGATTTCTTTAAACTCAACTCTTGTTTGTTTAAAAAAAAGAGGTAAGAACTTGGCTGGCGCCAGACCCGGCTTTGACTCCCAGCTCCACCACTTGCCAGGTGTGGGATCTTGCGGGAGTGCCATGACCTCCCTGAGCCTCCCAGTCTGTAACCCCGGGCCTTCCCAGAAACGAATGTGGGGTCTTTTTGTGGGAAGGGTGGACACAGATTGTCACCTGGGGCCAGGCCAACCCACCCTCTGACCAGGGGCAGCAGCAACCGGCTTCTAAGCATGACCCATGACCCCAGCAATGTCGCAAGCAAGTTCCAGTCTCTGTGCCTCCCATTCCCGATGCCACGATTCCAGGAACCGCCCCCGCTCAGGAGCCACCCCTGCCCCAGGCCCCTTGCTACTTAAGGGGGGCGGGCCCTGCCAGGGCCACTGCACTGGGAATCCAGGATGAGGGCCATGGCTCAGGCCCTGCCCTCTTTACTGCTGAGACTACTGCTCACGTCCACTCCAGGCACCCTGGGTACCAACCCCGGCCTGGTGGCCAGGATCACCGACAAGGGCCTAGAGTATGGTAAGAGGATGTGGCTGTTGGCTGGACTTGGCCGACCTGCCAGGCGCCAGACTTCTCTGGAGCTACTTGGGCATGTTACTTGTCTGAGTGGGGGCCCCTACTAGCCGACAGGGAGAAGGATTTGGAGCAAGCGTTGATTTGGGAGAAAGTCTCCAGGATACAGCACAGGAGAGTGGGAAGGTGAGCTGAGAAGGGGGAGCCGCCAGAAGACAAGAGAGGTGTGTTATGAACCCAGCCACTACCCACTGACAGGGACAATTCCACCAGAAAGTTCTTGATAGAGTTTGAAAACATATGTCTTAAATCTAGAAGGCAGAATGGTGGTGACCCCCAGAGGAAGGCTGTGACCCAGAGAGGGCAGGAGGGAGGCTGTGGGGGTGCTGGGACTGTGCCGTCTCTGGTTCTGAGGGCTGGCTACGTGGCCGCAGAAACATTTAAAAGTGATCTGGTGATGTCTTTTATGTATATGTCAGTTTTAGAGAATGAACAAAAATAGGACGACTTTTTGAAAAAGATGCTGAAACAAAGCATCCGAATTCATCCATCCAGAGAGTAGGGAGCTGAGTCGTCTATACAGCACTCCCCACGATAACTGAACCAGGGCTCTCCTCACATTCATGGAACCTCAACTGCCTAATCTGTTAAATGGGGTAATAACATTTCCCCAGGTAGGGTTGTTGGGAGCAGAGGAAAGGAAATCAGGGAAGGCTTCTTGGAGGAGGTTCGGGGCGGTACAAAAGATGAGTGGCACTTGGTGAGGGACGAGCGATAGCATTCTGGCAGGACTGGCATGGGCATTCTCTCGAGGGAGGAGTGCCAGTTGGAAAGAGAGGAGGCCCCTGGTCTTCTGTGTACACATGCGCCCCTTGAGGGCAGAATCCTGGGTCCCTCATATATCCGAACAAACAACGAGTGCTAGTAAGAGCTGTTTATATTGAAATCCTAAATCAGGCAAAATTTGCCTTTGGTTCCTTTCCACTGTGTGATTGATTGTACCATGTTCACTTAGCCAATTGGCTAGAGTTGGATATTTTGGTCCTTTCCATATTTTTAATAACATAAACCCCGCTTTGCTGTTCCAGGCCTGAGTGCCTGGTGTGGGCCACGCACCAAAGCTAGGAGTGCATGTCATCCCCCCTCACCCGCTTTGTGCTCTGCAGTGATCTCCTTTAATATTCATGCCAGCCCAGTAAAGAAAGTTCTGTTGCCGGGGCGCCTGGGTGGCTCAGTTGTTGGGCATCTGCCTTCGGCTCAGGTCATGATCCCAGGGTCCTGGGATCGAGCCCCGCATCGGGCTCCCTGCTCAGCGGGAAGCCTGCTTCTCCCTCTCCCACTCCCCCTGCTTGTGTTCCCTCTCTCGCTGTGTCTCTCTCTGTCAAATAAATAGATAAAATTAAAAAAAAAAAAAAAGAAAGTTCTGTTGCCATTGCCATGGAGAAGGTGAAGCTGAAGTGTTGCTCAAGGTCACCCTGCTAGAGAGATGCTGGCGCCAGGATTCTATCCCTCAAATCCCTACAGTGTCTTCTGCACAGGCTAGACGCTGGGAAGGACAGAACAGAGGAGCACCCACCCACGCACACAGCCCTCCTCCCCTTGTGGGGCTGCTGACAAAGGCACTGTTCCCTCACCCACAGATTGGGCACCCACATAACAGCACCACGTGAAATGCAGTGATGCTCCTGTTTCTCATGTCCCTTGGTACGCAACAGGGGCTCAATAGTCTGGAACTGTCTTTAATGCTTATAAGGAAGTCAGCCTTTCTCCCTAGAGCAGGTGGAAGCCACTGAAGTGTTTAGAGGGGAAGCAGGCAGGCAGGCCAGGCTGACTTGCAGCTTTTTTCCTATCCACAGTAGCCAGGGAGGGGTCGGTGGTTCTGCAGAAGGAACTGCTCAGAATCACGCTGCCTGACTTCACTGGGGACTTCAAAATCAAGCCCTTTGGCCGAGGGCACTTTGAGTTCCACAGGTGAGGCTCCCTTCTGCTGGGGCCCTGAGGTGGCTGGGGGTAGGGGTGGGGCTCTGCAGGGCGGGGAGGGAGAACCCCAGGACTTCCTTGGGGCAGCGATGGGGGAGTTCCTCGCAGCATTCAGAGCGAAGTCCTGGGAGGAAATTAGGTTCCCCCATTTATTCATTCATCCAGCAAATATCAATGAAGACCTACTAGCTGTGTGACCTGAGCCTCGGTTTCCTTATCTGCAAAATGGGGATGACACTGTGAAAATCCAGGCTTCGGTCTGGCCTCGGCATGTAGTCCGGGAGGGAAGATAGACCTTAAACTTTAAATATAGTAGCCCAACTGTTAGAGCTAAGGTTTGTCCACCCAGGGGAGTCAAGGAAAACTTCCCAGAGGCGGTGGCATTTGAGCTGAGTCTTCAAAGGATCATTAGACATGGACGGCTGATGCCAAAAAAAAGGCGTAAAACACTTGTGGAGGAACAGGCGACGGAGGAGGGCAGTCGAGTCACAGCTCAGCACCCCCTGCCTGCCCACTACCATTGATAGCTCCACTCATTCTTTCTTTAATTCAGTCCATTAGCAAACATTTATTGAGCCCTACCACGTGCCGGGCATATCAAATGGAACTTGACCACTGTTTTCCCACTGACGGCCCCACAATATGTGTCGTCTTGGTTTGCTTCTCCCAGCACTTTGTACCTTTTCTTGGGGCCAGCCTCAGCCTTCCCTGAATCCAATCCCCACCTGGATCTCTCGAGGGAGAGGATGGCTCTAAGAAGGAGCTGCAAACCCAAAGGGGTGTGCCGATGTGCCCTACTCCAGATCCCACCCAGGATCATGACATTCATGGGCTCTGATCCCGACGGTGTGACTTTGGGCAAATGCATCTCTATTTCCCCCTCTGTAAACAGGGAACAAGAAGAGCGCTGACCCCTCTGAGAGGCGCAGGTGACATAAAGGAGGAAACGCGCTTAGCATGGCCGCATGGTCAGCACAGAGCACGCCTCAGGCGCTCAGGAAGTGGGGGGGCCCATGCCTGCCTGGAGCCGGCTCTGCCAGCCAAGTCCCCACGGGGTGGGAGTGGGGCGTGGCAGGGGCGGGAGCAAGAGCCCCGCTGAGGCTGGAGCCAAGCTGGGGCTGACGCCGTGCTCCCCGTGTCTCTCTCCTCAGCCTGAGCATCCACAGCTGTGAGCTGCGTGGTTCTGCTCTGACGCCCCTGCCCGGCCAGGGTCTGAGTCTCACCATCTCTGACTCCTTCATCAGAGTCCAGGGCGAGTGGAAGGTGCGCAAAGCATTCGTGTAAGTGGACTCTGCTCCCAGGCTCTTGGGCCCTTGGCCTTGGCCTTTGCCCCATCCTTCTTGGGTCCAAGGTGTTCCTAGCTCATCGGAAAGGCCCCATGGTGGATGGAAAGAGCCCACAGGGGTTGGAGGCCTGGCTCTTAGTTGAGTCTCTTCCCTTCTCATGCTTCCCTGATAGGGTTGTGGGTGACTTAAATGAGAGAATTCTGGGTCTTTTTAGTTTGCCTTCCCCAGCAGCAGACCCTAAGACAAGAATTCAAGCGTAAGTACTTTATCCGGGAAATGATCTAAGGAAACATCCACGGGGGTGGAAAAGGGAGGCAGGGAGGGAAGGAAGTCAGCTGAGCTGCCGACTGGAGCTCAGCCTTCCTGCGGACCTCTGCAGACCATACAGGCAGAGCACACCTCTGAGCTACCCCAACTCAGCCATTATGACCCCTTCTTCCTGTTTGCCGTTGGTCAAGGGGGGCTCCCAGGGGCACGAACTCCCTAGCACTTTGAACTGTTCTTGACCTCCAGGGTCCTTGGATGGAAGGTGGGTCGTCTGCTTGAGCTGCCATGCTAAGATATCACGGACTAGGTGGTTTCAGCAACACTTCTGGAGATCCAAGGTCCAAGATCAAGGTGTCAGCAGGCCTAGTTTCTTCTTAGGTCTCTCTTCTTGACTTGTAAATGACGGCCCTCTCGCTGTGACCTTGCATTGTCGTCCCTCTGTGTGCATGCACCCCAGTGTCTCTCCGTGTCCTCTTCTTACAAGGGCACCAGTCAGATTGCATTCTGGCCCACCCTGATGGCCTCATTTTTTTTTAAGTTTATGTATTTAAGTAATCTGTACACCCAACGTGGGGCTCATACTACAACCCCGAGAGCAAGAGCAGTATGCTCCACTGACTGAGCCAGCGAGGTGTCCCCCCAGTTGTCTCATTGTAATGGCATCAATTCTTTAAAGGCTCTGCCTCAAATGTAGTCACATTCAGAGGTCCTAGGGTTAAGGACTTCAACAGATGAATCTGGGTGGGGGCACAAAATTCAGCCCATAACAGGAGGGTTGACCAGTCTTTTCTGGGTGACCTGACCATATTTATACTTTATTTTTTTTTTATTTTATTATGTTATGTTACTCACCTTACAATACATCATTAATTTTTGATGTGGTGATCCACGATCCATTGTTTTCGTGTAACACCCAGTGCTCCATGCGGTACGTACCCTCCTTAATACCCATCACCGGGCTAACCAATCCCCCCTTTCTCCTCCCCTCTAAAACCATGTTTGTTTCTCAGAGTCCATAGTCTCTCACGGGTTCATCTCTCCCTCCGATTTCCCCCCCTCCATTTTTCCTTTCCTTCTCCTCATGTCCTCCATGCTATTCCTGATGTTCCACAAATAAGTGAAACCATATGATAATTGACTTTCTCTGTTTGACTTATTTCACTTAGCATAATCTCCTCCAGTCCCATCCATGTTGATGTAAAAGTTGGGTATTCATCCTTTCTGATGGTTGAGTAATATTCCATTGTATACATGGACCACATCTTCTTTATCCATTCATCTGTTGAAGGGCATCTCGGCTCTTTCCACAGTTTGGCTATTGCGGACATTGCTGCTATGAACATTGGGGTGCATATGGCCCTTCTTTTCATAGACCTGCATTGTCCAATACAGTAACTTCTAGCCATGTGTCTTCACTGAGTACTCGAAAAATAGCTGGTACAAATTGACATCTGCTATAAGCGCGAAACACCATATTTGAAGATTCAATACAAAAAAGAACAGAAGAAACCTCATTAGTGACATTTTGTGTCTGACTTCTTACATTTATCCTAAGATTTTTGAGGTTCATCCACATGGTAGCATGCATTAGTCCTTTATTCCTTTTTATGGATGAGTAATACTTCATTGTGTAGATAGACCACATTCACCCTTATTCTTTTATTTTTTTTTTTGAAAGGGGCAGGGTGGGGGAGAGGGAGAGGGAGAGAATCCCAAGCGGGCTCCACACCCAGCACAGAGCCCAATGCAGAGCTCGACCTCACGACTCTGAGATCATGACTGAAGCCGAAACCAAGAGTCAGACGCTTAACTGCCTGAGCCACCCAGGCGCCCCTACCCTCATTTGTTTTAAAGCCTGCGTGGCATAGATGCCCATGACTTACTGAACCCGTCCCTACTAGCTGACATTTAGGTGGTTCATCACTTTTTGCTATGACCCATGCTGCTTCCATGAGCTGCCCCACTCATATATCTGGGCGGGAAGAGCTGCAGAGTAAAGCCTTAGAAGTAAAATTCCAAGATCGAAGACATGTGCGTGAGGATGGATCCCAGCAGTCTGTATTCCAGAGGTGCTCTTCCCACTACAGCCCCTGGGACCTCTGTTTACCCATACCTGCTCAAACTTCAGAACTTGCATCCGACAGGTGAAAACTGGCATCATTGTTATTTTCATTTTTAATAATGTTTCATATGCTTATTTGCAGTTGAACTTCCTGTTTGATATCTTTGATCCCTCTTTTTAATTTTTTTCTTTTGGGTTGTTTTGTCCTTTTCTTATTAATTTGTATGAGCTTGTTCTTTGTGTATTAAGGAAATTAGCTCTTTGGCTGGCTCACCATGCAGGGTCTTTCTTTCTTTCTTTTTTTTTTTTTTAACTTTGAATATGGCATTTTTTTGTTCACTGAAGTTTTAATTTTCTATGCTGTCAAGTTTATCAACCATTTCCTTTAAGCCTCCTGAGACTTGAATCCTACAGAGAAAGGCTTTTGCTCACCCGTTCCCAGAAATAACTAGACCCAGGCTTTCTTCCTGATCTTTTATGGTCTTATTTGTAATAAATCTTTACTTTGTAATAACTTTCCCAATTAAATTTTTATTCCAGCTTCACTTACTTTGGGGTAAGAATCGAGCTTCATATTTTACCCACAAATGGTGGCTGATCTTAGTCTAGGAATGGATGAATTCTTCTCTTATCTCCTCCAGGAAACTACACGGCTCCTTTGATGTGCAGGTCAAGGGCATTACCATTTCGGTCAACCTTGTCTTGGGCAGGGAGCCCTCTGGGAGGCCCACCGTCACTGCCCCCGGCTGCAGCAGCCACATTCAAGATGTGGAGGTGGACATATCGGGAGATTTGGGGTAAGTCACCACTGAAACACTGGCCCGCTTGACCCCTGGGTGCAGCCTGAGGCCCATCCAGCCCAAGGCCTGGCCTCTGATAAATATATATGTCCAGGTGTAATGCAGGGGCACATCACAGGCACTTGGAGGTCATTCTTTGGGGGACCCTGCTGAGATTAACAGATGCAGCTTCGAGCCAGGAATACTGGTGGGGACCACCATCAGATGAATGAAATCTGTTAGAGGAACACAAGGGCTTTTGGCCTCCGGACAGTGTGTGGACAATGTACAAGTCTTCGGGGACATATTTTTGAGCCTCAGTTTCCTTGATTAGAATATATGGATTCTCAAGCCTCTCCCCTAAATCTACTGAATCTGATTAGGGGCAGCAGGTGGCTGGGATGCCAGACACGCTGAATCAACGAGTGTGCTGGGATCTGGGACTCTGCATTTTCATCCTTTCCAGGATTCTGAGACACAGCAGGGTCCCAGGATGGGGTGAGGAGGGCTCCCTTGTGGACCAGCCTGGTCAGAGGCCAGGGCCAGGCTTTCTCTGCTGCCTCACTGTCCCTGCATTCAGTGGTACACAGCTGACCGTCCACTGTTCTCTCCCTAGGTGGCTGTTGAATCTCTTCCACAACCAGATTGAGTCCAAGTTCCGCAGAGTATTGGAGAGCAAGGTAGGAATGTCCAAGCTTCTGGCATCTGCTGTGTCACTCAAGGGCTAGGTGGACACCTTCACTGGCCTCTGGCCCTGGATGGCCAGGCTGACTGGCCCAGACATATTTAGGCCCAAGGCCCAGAGAGGACAAATCATTTGCCCAAGGTCATGGAGCGTGGCCAAGCTGGGGCAAAATGTAGGTCCCTGGACTCCAAGTGTGTTTAGTGAGGCAGAGAATGTTCGATGTTCAGCCAATGGTAAAACAGCGGGAGCGAACAGAGACTCCTGCCCCTCCCTCTCCTTGACCTTGCTCACTGGCCCCCGCCCCCTAATGCCCTGCACTCCACAAGGCCAAAAAGGAAATCAGCACTTAGGTGCCTGCAGACGCCAAACAGGACAGTTGGGAAATGTGAGAACCAGATTGGAGCCCTGGTTCCTACCTGGCTGTGCTCATAAGCACATGCCCTGGAGGGGACGGCAGCACAGAGTGTCATTTTTTCCCATTAAAAAAATGTGAAATCTCCCAAATTTTGAAATCTCTGACAAAACAAAGAGGTTTCATGTTAACAAATACTTCACCCCAAAAATCCCATTTCTGAGGTATCATGGACCGGGAGCTGTGTCTGTAGCAAAGACTGTGCTTCGGAAGGGAGAAGGTCATTAAGGAGGAAAGAGGAACACACAACACACGCACACACACACACACACACACACACACACTCTCCACTGAGGCCCACGGCTGGTCTTGTGCCCCTGGTGGTTGAGGTGGGAATAGCAGACAGACCCTGGAGATGGGGAGTGGCAGACTGCATTCTGTTCCTTTTCTTGTTCTGGGGTCCTGGGGTCTAGGTGAGCCTGGGAAATATGCCAGCCTCCTTCTTGAGCACCTCATTTCCATGTTGCCATGCTTTTCTTAGTAGGACATAGTTATCTTCAGCGGTGTGCATTACCTTGCTGGTGAGGAGCTGAGTCAGCATTTGAACTTCCTAGAATATGGAGCAGCTTATACCAAAGGCCTTCTAGGGGCTGGGTGTCTTGGGAAAGATGGAGATCTCACTTGATCCCTGATCCTTATGGGTCTTCAGAAATTTCCTTCTTCTAGGAAAACGAAGAGCCTGGTACAGGATCTTTCAAATTCCCCACTGATGGTATCTGACCAACAGGGCTAAGAATAACCACTTCCTGCATGTTTGCTCTCTGGGCCATATAGACTCACTGTCTCAGCCCCCTCACCCTCCAAAACTCCCTGGGAAGCACTTGGCCTTGTCACTGTATCCTGTGGGTGAGGACTCAAAAGCAGGGAGAGATTCTGCAAAGGTCACACAGCCAGTGGGGGACTGGACAGGATTTGAACCCAGGTTTTTTAACTCACCTACAACACCCTTAACCTGCCTCTCTAGGAGGTCCTGTGATGAGTCTGGGACTGAGGGCCGAAGGCCTTCCCTCCCCCATCAGGCAAGTCCCCTCAGGGGTGGGGCATCCGGGGGGGGGTGCCTTTAGGAAGATCTGATGGGCCCTTGTCTGAAGGAAAATCAATAAGAGAACAGTCTCTAGTTGAGGCCAGCAGTTTCCTGGTTCCCGTGAAATCAACTGTGACTGTCCCTCACCACTCCATTCTTTGCTTTTTGGCAACAACCTGAGACCAAACTCCTTTGCCAAAACTAAGCTGTCTGCAAAGGGAGGTTAAGATTTCACCTCTTGCCTGCCCAACCCCCAGCATAGAGCTTCCCCACATCCCCATGCCTGATTCATGTCTGCTCACCCTTTTACCTGCCCTTAAAATGCCACCTCCCATGCTCATGGAGCCCCCAGCCCCCATATACCTCTCCTTCCTTATATACGTGGATCCGTCTGAGCAGAAGGTGGTGGCCGCTTAATCAAAACAACTTGTACCGTGGGGACACACACACACATGCACGAACAAAGAAAATATTTACATGTAACTGCAAATGTTTTAAGATAAAGTAAATATAAATCCATTTGTCATATTGTGACACAGGGCCCAGAACTGTTCTTTCAAAATAGTCTCCTGATTGACATTGGACTTTGTCTTTCGCGCATAAAACATTGATTTGCTACAAATTCCAGCTCAGATTTCTTTAACCACAATGAGAATTCAAAGACATTTGCAAAGCAATCCCAGTGCCGAATCCTTCTAGATTTTTATGATTTTTTTCCTCCTAAGCCTTTTCTTGTGCACACCAAGAAATTTCTCTAAGCAGCTCACCTTTCCCAAGTACTTAGGTTTTCTCAGTCATATTTCATTGGTTTACACAATAAATATTCCAAGCGATTATGAGAGCAAATATAGCCACCAGATTTGGGAACACGCATTCCCTCATCTTGAGAAGCAAGGCACTCAAGTGGCCACCACGAAGTGTGTGGGGAAACGTGGAATACGGATCCATCCAGCCAACCTGTGAAGTGATGATATTTGAGAAGTATCTACTAAGTACACACTTACGTATTTCTACTGACCGTCTAGTTCTGCTGTTCAATTCTAAATTCTGGGGGGGGCCAGCACCTCCCAAAGGAAAGTATCTTTCAGGCTGGAATTTCAGGCAGTGCCTCCAGCCAAGGTACCCTACCCAGCTGGGTAGCTGACTACCTAGCTCAGATGTCCAGCTCCAGGAAAAACTTGGAAAGGTCCGGATGGGCCCCATTGAGGTCCACATGGGGACCTGCATGTTTTTGATCATTTCTGTTTCCTGGCACATGGCACGTGATGAGCACTGATACATTTTTGTGGACTCAATCAATGGGCTAATATATGAACGACGATGACTACAGCAATTAACACAGTGGCAGACCAAAGCTGGGGGGACCCGCTCAGGCTTTCTCCTCCTGTGTTTTTCAGATTTGCAAAATGCTCCAGAATTCGGTGACCTCAGACCTACAGCCTTATCTCCAAACTCTGCCAGGTAGGCTACTCCACCCATCCCCGGGATACTCTATTAATTTATATAAGCACATAAGCATGTCTTATAAAACATTAAATGGGACAGAAGTATAGAAAATAATAATTTTTTAAATTTTTTGTATTTTTTATTTTTAAAGATTTTATTTATTTGAGAGAGAGAGAGCACAGAGAGAGAGGCAGAGGGAGAAACAGACTCCCCACTGAGCAGGGAGCCTGATGTGGGGCTCGATCCCAGGACCCTGGGATCATGACCTGAGCTGAAGGCAGATGCTTAACCGACTAAGCCACCCAGGTGCCCCAAAGGTAATTATTTTTAAGTATCCCTTCCTCCCCAAATTTTCTTCCAAGAGGTAACCTCTGTTTGGGGTGTCACCCCTCAGATATTTTCTTTTGTATATAAAAATATAAATATACATGATCATTCAAACATGCATTCATTATATATTCCTTTCATTCATGAATACATGTGTATGTGCCAAGTTATGAACATATATCAGTCTACACATAGTAGACATTGTTTCTTTTGTAACTTACATACCTTGGATATCTTTCTATATTAGCGCACATAAATTTATCTCATTTTTAAAAAACTTTTTGGGGCACCTGGGTGACCCAGTCGGTTAAGCGTCTGCCTTCAGCTCAGGTCACGATCCCAGGGTCGTGGGATCAAGCCCCGTATCAGACTCCCTGCTCAGCGAGGGGTCTGCTTCTCCCTCTCCCTCTGCCATTCTCCCTGCTCATTCTCTTTCTCAATAAATAAATCTTAAAAAAAAAAAAAAAACTTTTTGTGGAGGTTTATAGAGAGAGAAAAGTGTTCAAGTCATAAGTGAACAGCTTAAAGAATTTTGCCAAACTGAGCACAGGCACGTCCCCGCTCCCAGCGCAGGAAACAGAACATGATGGGGTTTTCAGAACCCTTCCCAGCTCCTGCCCCTGCCCCCCACTGAAGGAAAACCACTATCCCAACTTCTCCCAGCAAAGATTAGTTTTGCACTTTGTACGCGAATGGCACCACGTAGTATTTTGAGTCCTCTATCAAGAGCAGAAGGTTTTCTTTGCTCAACTTTAAAAGATGAAGTTGATCCATACTGCTGTGCAGAGAGAGTTCATTCATTCTCCTTGCTGGGTGCCGCTCCTCGGTGTGGGTGTCCCTCCCTTTGTTTATCCATTCTGCTGTTGAAACCCATTTGGGGAGTTTCACTTTGGGGCCATTATGGGTGGTGCTGCTATGAATATTCTAGTACATATGGACACATGTCTTTGGGTATATACCTAGGAAAGCGAATGCAGGCTCATCTAGCAGACATAGGTTCTGCATTATCGGATCCTTCCAGTGTTCCAAAATGATTGCCACAGACTTGGTTTTAGTAGCTGTGTAGTGTTCCATCCTATGGATGTGTCTGAGGTATTCTGTGAGGCCCTGGCCCCCGGGCCTTACCCTCACTTGTTGGCAGCTGTCTTTCAGGGGAGGCTCAGGCAGCCACAGACAACCTAGTGCATGGGACACAGGACTTCCATTCCCCTACGGCTTTGGAGGGCAGTTTCTGGGCCCTCTGGACATGGCCTGACCTTCCTGGTTATTTGGTCTGTGTTGATAGGAGGCCAGTTTCCCTGAAGATCAAGGCCTCAGTTGGAAACTGGGGAACAATTCGCTTGATTGGAGAATTCTCCCCATTCTATGGCTTCTTTGGCATGAAGCTCCAGGTGTGGAGGGGCTGTGAGAACTGGGCTCCTCCTGCCCTCAGATGTGTGTGTGTGTGTGTGTGTGTGAGAGAGAGAGAGAGAGAGAGAGAGAGAGAGAGACCCTGGAACCCACTCAGGCTCCAGGAGGAGCATACCACCCCCTTCATGGCTAACCCACCAGTGGGACAATAGAACCATGTCCTCTCTTTCTTGGAGGAGCAGCTCTTTGCTCCGGGGCTGGGCTGGGTAGAAGGTCTTGAGGCAGAGGGGCAGGGGGCCTTGAAGAATGTGACAAGCATGTGGATCAGTCAGAGCGCCCATCACCTGGCTCCTAATCCTGCCCCTCTCCTGGTTCACAGTCAAAACAGAGATCGACAGTTTCGCTGGTATTGATTACAGTTTAATGGAACCCCCTCGGGCAACAGCCCAAATGCTGGATGTGATGTTTAAGGTGAGAGTCCTAGAGCAGGGGTGTGGGTAGGCTCGGCCCCAGCGTAGCATACCCTCATGGCCAGCCCTTACTTGGGGCCTCCCATCTTTCTGGCTTCAGGTCTGTCCTCATCTCCCCAGGGGTTCCAGCTGTGTTGAGGGCAGGACAATATGGAGTGGTGGGGATCAGGGCTCCAACAGTTGTCTTACAAGCCTTCAGCCTTGAAACTCACCCTCATCCCCTCCTTCCTCTTGACCACCATGCAAGTGAGGTCAATCAGAACTGGGCTAGGCGGTGCAGAGGGTACTATGGGTTAAAATGCCAAAGTTGGGGAGCTTTTCATTTACAGATTCTGGACACACAACACTTTGACCCAAAGGAAAATACCTTTAATGGTAGTTTCAGACAGTGACTTGCCAGTGCCCCCACCTCATATATAAACAACTGCCTAGCTCAGATGTCCAGTGCTGGGGTAGACTTTGAAAAGTTCAAATGCATCCTATTTCTCTCTCCAGGGTGAAATTTTTAACCGTGATCACTATTCCCCAGTCAGCTTCCTTGCTCCTGTCATGAGCCTTCCTGAGCAATACAGCCGAATGGTCTACTTTGCCATCTCTGATTATGTCTTCAACACAGCCAGCATGGTTTATCATGAGGCAGGATTCCTGAATTTCTCCATCACAGATGACATGGTGAGGATGGTGGCAGAATAGCACTCACAAATGACAGGGTAACCTGTCCTTCTTCCTTCTTTCCTTCCCACCTCGTTTACATCAATGAAATAGGAAGTTACTGAGAAGAAAGATTCAGACAAGGAAATACATAAATTAGCACAATTTCCCTTTTCACCCTGGCTGCCAGGAAGCTCGAGTCAAAATCCTTTCTCCCTTAGAACTGTGAAAGATTATGACTTCCCTGTCTGGATTTTACTTTTGCCCCCATCTAGACCTGTTGTTCTAATTCATATTTTCTCTCCTGCTTGGTTTGTAGAGGTTTAAAAAAAAAAAAAAACTTTAAAAAATTTAGTAAATGAGGCAGGATAATAGATACACTAATAAATGCATAAAGTTATATTGAATAGGAAATTAAGACCAAGTTAAAAGTAAAGCACAGTTACAACACCATGCCCATAAGTTGATTTTTTTTTTTAAATAAAAAATTCTACTTGAGAGCTTCCTTGTAGCCAAAGTAGAAAAGGTCCATGATTTAGTGATTCGTGGTGAAAGGAGAGACAAGGTCTTCCTAGGACTTACCTCTGAGACAAGTGTTTCAAATGGGGCTTTGTATAAGGAATATTAAATTTTATAGTGGATTGCATCTTTAATAATTCTCAAGTTTCTTTAAAATTTCTGGGTTTCAGAAGATTATTTCTTGTAGCTTTTTGTCAAGCTGAGGCCTCGTGAACAATGTCAGGATGATGAGGGAAACACAGCACAGCCCCACTTGGATGGTCCAGCTCGCTCTGATAATAGATGGGGGCCCGTCAAGTGGGTGGGTGGGGTGGCTTGTGGTCTTTTGGGTGATTTCTCACCCTTGCACAGGCCTTTTGCTTCTATTATCATGTTTGAGTAAGGCACCCCACCTGTGGTGCTGTCCTTTCTTTTAGTGGATTGGTCAGAATAGCTGTGTTTTATAACAGCTATGCGCTGGGCCCTGTGTAGGCGCTGTGTTTACCCCACCCCATTTACCCCTCATGATGACCTGATAGGCTCAGAGAGGTGAAGGGACTGGCCTGTGACCACACGGGAACAAAGCCAGGAACCATACCTAGGTCCTTATGTCTACAAATCTCACCCTCACGGACCCTCTGAGTGTGTCCCACGTGTCACCTATGTGCCAAGGAGAGCAGCCGGGACCCTGGCAACTGGTGCTTGTGGTGAGTGCTGGGCAGGCATCTCACTATTGCTATGGCAACCCAGGTAGTCAAAGAAGCTGCAGTCTTGAACATTTCCCCCCTCCACCTCCCCATCTTTCTCAGACCTTCAGTTCCTGCGGGAGCACCCTAAAACTTTGTGTCTCTTTGCTGCAGGTTCCCCCTGGCTCTAACATCCGGCTGACCACCAAGTCCTTCCGCCCCTTCGTCCCCAGGGTAAGCCTTCTCTCAGACCTTGGCAGGAGCAGGCCAAGCCCACTAGCCTCCAGGAGTTTCCCTTTAAAACCACAGAGCTACTCTCGGCTTAACTAAGAGTCAGAAGGCCGGCAGTGAGACCCCCAGGGAGGGCAGGGCCTTCATTCTGCTGGCTTCGGGGCCCCTTCTCTCCAAAGCCCAACAACAGAGGCCTGAGCCCTGTGTCTCTGGGACCCTGGGTTGCCCAGTCTTTTGCCGACGATATCTGAAAATCCCAAGGAGCGCCAACATGTCCCCTCAAATACACCTTAGTTAATAACATCAGACAATTACAGAGGGCACACTAGGGACCAGGCACTGTTCTTGGTGCTTTAAAAATTATGTTTTGACCAGATAATAAATTCTCATGGTTCAACATCCAAAAGACATAAAAGGTTCTAGAGTGGAAAATTTCCCATCCACTCCTGGCCCCTAAGCACCCAGTTCCCATCCAGAGCCTACCTCCTTCTGGGAATATTCTATGTATATGCCAACAAATGTTGTGAATCTTTTCCATTTTTGTACACAAATGGGGACATATCATACACACCATTTTGTACCTTACTTTTTTTGCCTCACTGTTCCGGGAGACCATTCTGCAGAGGTAGAGAAGGAGCTTCCTCACTCATGTTCTCATGGGCATCCAGCCTGCCATCATATGGACTCACCATAGCTGGTTTAACCAGTCTCCCAGGAAGGACCTGGGGTTGTTTCCAGCAGTTGCTACAGCAACTCTGTCATCACAGGGCTAAGCTCCTCATTCAATCCCACAGAAATCCACTGTCCTCTCCCCCACCTCCCCAGTCCCCTCCAAGGCGCAGCTCAGACAGGCGGTCATGTCGAACATCCAAGGCTTGACAATACTCATCCTGCCCTTTGACTCAGCAATTCCACTTCTAGGAACGTACCCCTCCCCCCAACAGCCAAGGGTATTCACAGGGATGATCATTATAAGGGCAAAACCTTGGAGACCACCTGATGCTCACTGTGGCTAGATCAGTTACAGTACCCGTGCCCGATGGAACCCAATGCAGCCGTGAAGTACATATACAGACTCCAGATGTCTGACAGGGCAAGATAAGATCTCCAGGTGCACCATTAAGAGGAAAAGGAACAGAGCATTTTGTGAAAATAACATCAATCAAAAAGCATTCTCGGCTTTCTCTGACTCCCTCGGGATCCCCCTGGCAAACCTGCATATTTCCTTCTCGTGACATAATATCCTCATTCTGCCCCCAGTTAGCCAGACTATACCCCAACATGAACTTGGAGCTCCAGGGAGCAATGGCCTCTGCCCCATTCCTGAACTTCAGCCCTGGGAATCTGTCCTTGACTCCCCTGATGGAGATTGAAGCCTTTGTGCTCCTGCCCAGCTCTGCCAAGGAGCCTGTCTTCCAGCTTGGTGTGGTAAGGCTCAAAGCCTTTGCAAATGCTATTCCGTTTTTCTGCATGCTCTCCCCCTTTCCTTCAGATCTCAACTTCAATATCACTTCCTCAAGGAGGACTTTTTTGATTGCCTCTTACCACCTTAGGCCCCCTGTCATTTTTTTTTTCTTAAAGCACCCTATTGTTTTTCGGCATAGCATTTATTATAAAGATACCTATGTAGCTGTTTGCAGGTTTTTTTGCTTAATGTATGTATCTCCCACTAAGCAAGACGGGGCTATTGTTGGGAGGAAGGCATCAGGGTCTTTGACTTGTTTGCTCTGCAGCTGTATCTGACCCATGAAGACTACACTTCCCAGGCTCCCCTGGACTTTGACTTCTAACCAAGTCAGCCAATGGAAAACACTGTCAAGAGACTAGAGGGCGGGAGGAAGAAAGAAGCCGAATATTTCTTCCTCTGTCTTTGTCCTGGACAGAGGCTCAGGCAGTGAGTGTGTCTCTTCCATGGTGGTTCCCATAACCCTAGTCCCTACTTCTGTTCTTCCAGTCCTGGGGTGGAAGCAGCGTCCTACCTCTGCTAGTCTCTAAGTTGCCCCTCTAGCTCTCTTTGGCTTCTTGGCAATTCCATCACTTGTGTAACCAGTTCCCTATATTAAAGTCCCTCTGAGTTAAATATTGAGAGGGGTCTCTCTCAATAAACCCTAAGAGCAAAGGGATTCTGAGTCCTTTGGGGTTCCTGCTCACTGGATGTTTCAGGGTTGCAACTCAACAAGACAAATTTCTGGAAGGGTAATTGCTCCTAGATGCTATATCTGCAATTTGATTTTGTTGTTATTGTTGTCGAATTTGTTGTTATTAATATATTGTAAATTAAAACAAAATATTATTAATATTATTTTTATTATTATCACCCCTAGGACTGACTCTTAGCCCTGAGATAGCTAGAAATGATGCCTTTAGAGATCTCCAGAGATAGGCACTCTACACCTCTTGGTAGTCTGTCTATTCAAAGTTCAATCACTATCATAGTCAGAAACTTAAGGTAAAAAGTGTTCAAGTCCAAGTTCAAACATGTATTGAGTACCTATGATGAGCCTTCTGGGAGTCCACAGTCTAGTGAACAAGTTCCTGCTTTAACTAACTGAGTTGTTTGTTTAAAGGAAACAGCTGGTCCTAATAGTTATCATTCCTGTACGTGACAGCCTTTCTCATCTAAACCAGTTTTCTTCTACTGGAATTTCCAGGCTACTAATATGTCCGCCATGTTGACCTTCAACACCAGCAAGATCACTGGGTTCCTGAAACCAGGAAAGTAAGTCAGCCTCCTGCCCACATGGAGGCATTAAACTGGGTTCCTTCCATCTGGACACTGTAGCTGATTTTCTGTAGCTGGGGGTAGGGATGTGAGTAGATCTTCTTCTCGATGTTAGGGGCTGCCATTGGGGAAGGAAACTTAAATTTTACCTCAGTTGGCCCAAATCTTTTCCCCCACTAGTCCTGCCTCCACAAACTTCCTTACCACCTAATCCCCATAACTTCCAAATTTCTAAAGAATTTATTAATACTGATTTTTCTTAATCTGTAAATTTTCGACATCAGCTATATTGACTTTCTGACATACACTACCCACCTCCGCTCTGTGAGTCTTCCCAATGAGGTTGTATCACTGGTTTTGGGTCTTAAACATCTTTTCCAGTCCCATCCTTACGTTGGCTCTGTGTCTTCTCAAGCCAGTACTTCCTTTCTGGGGACCCCTACATTGCTTAGGTTTGCCATGGGCATTATGCCCCCATCTCTGAATCTTCTCTGATTCATTATAGGATACAAGTGGAGCTGAAAGAGTCTAAAGTTGGAGTGTTCAATGTAAGTTATCATTGTTTTTATTTATGAAGTGATTAAGGTATTAACTAATTTAGTATATTTACTAAGCAATGCTATAGCACCTATAGGAGAAAGTAGAAAAATGAAAAGAGCTACTCTCTGCTGTAGAAAAGTATAGAAGTTCTCGAGGACATGATACACAGGGCCAAGGAAGTTACATCCCAATAGAAGATAAGATATAATTAAATTGTCTGTTGGACAGAATTCTTTTAACTACAAGAATAGAAAACCAATTAAAAGTGTCTTAAGCCAACACGAGGAATTCATAGGGTCATAAAACTAAAAAACAAATTAAAAAAGAGGTTTCAGGCATAACTGGATCTAGGTGCTCAAATTAGTGCATCAAGAATCTCTCCCCATCCCTCCCTTCTGCTTTCATCTGTGTTGGCTTCATCCTCAGACAGGTTTTTCCCACTGATGGAAAACCTCAAAATTTTGTAGTTTAATTTTTTAAAAAAATCCAGATGCTAGCTCTCTTTAGGTGAATCTGAGTCATGTGTCCATTCTTTAGCCAATCACTGTGGTTAAAAATTGGAGAAGGCCAATTGACCAAACATGGGTTTCATCTACACTTCTGGAGCCAGGACGTCTAGTCTGAAACCATATGGACTGAGATTGGAAAGGAGGGTTCTCCAGGGGAAAATAGGGACTCTGTTATTAAAACAAGAGGAATTAATTGCTGGGCAGGCTGAACCAAGAGGTGATTTCCACAAGGAGGAACAACTGGCAAAATGGATGGCCCCATATTGAAGTAAGAAAGACAGTGGGAAAATCAATGTGGGCTGATGTGATCAGGGAGAGATTTTTTTTTTTTTACATTTTAAAAATTTTATTATGTTATGTTAATCACCATACATTACATCATTAGTTTTTGATGTAGTGTTCCATGATTCATTATTTGCATATAACACCCAGTGCTCCATGCAGAACGTGCCCTCTTTAATACCCATCACCAGGCTAACCCATCCTCCCACCCCCCTCCCCTCTAGAACCCTCAGTTTGTTTCTCAGAGTCCATAGTCTCTCATGGTTCGTCTCCCCCTCCGATTTCCCCCCCTTCATTTTTCCCTTCCTACTATCTTTTTTTTTTTTTAACATATAATGTATTATTTGTTTCAGAGGTACCAGTCTGTGATTCATCAGTCTTACACAATTCACAGCGCTCACCATAGCACATACACCAGGGAGAGATTTCTGACAAGAGGGAAGGCAGGGTGAAGGCAGCTCCTCTTCACAGGCCAAGGAGGAGATGGATAGACCTTAACCTGCAATAATTGTCTTCCTTTTCACCATCCTGCCCACACTGACCCCTCTGGCCAGCCTCCCTTTGCCCTTCGCTGCACAGACCCTCCCTTACAGATTTACGAAGTAGGAACAACCATATAAACTGTAGGGAGAGATGCAGCCCACAGGGACCCCAAAGGATGACCCCTTCCAGGGAATGAAGGAGGAAGTGAATAATGACACACTAATATTGCATCTGTGCATGGCATGTAAAAATGTCCTATGAGGTAAAACATCCGTATGTAAAGATTCACAAAAAGTCATCGTATCAGGTGTTCAGAACATGGAATGCAGAAAGCAAGAACTATAGAATCAGATAAATCTGGGTTCAAATTCTGCCCCTGCTGCCCCGTTTCTAAATGTCACTTTCATTCTGTGGGCCTCAGTTTTCTGGTCTGTGAAATGGGGGCAGTGATAGCAACTTCAAAGGGTTATTGTAAAAATTGAATCAGATGTATATGTAATGCTCTGAGCCCTATACCAGCTATATGATGAGCGTTAAAAGTTGTATTTCATAATTTTTGTTTTGAATTTTTTTTTAAATTATTACACAAGTAATTCAGGAAAATATTCTGTGAAAAAAAAATTAAACTGTAAAAAAAAAAAAATTAAAGGTAAAGCTAAGCCAAACCTTGATGTTCTCCTAGAGGAAAGACAGTTGGGTGTATAATCTTCCAAGTGTTTCTATCCCTTTGCACACAAATAAATGTGTATCTCAAAATAGTTTTATATTAGGGGCGCCTGGGTGGCTCAGTTGGTTAAGCAACTGCCTTCAGCTCAGGTCATGATACTGGAGTCCCTGGATCGAGTCCCGCATCGGGCTCCCTGCTCGGCAGGGAGCCTGCTTCTCCCTCTGACCCTCCCCCCCTCATGTGCTCTCTCTCTCTCATTCTCTCTGTCTCAAATAAATAAATAAAATCTTTAAAAAATAAATAAATAAATAAATAAAATTTAAAAAATAGTTTTATATTATAAAACAGTAGCATGATGTAGGCATCTATCTGAAATTTGCTTTTTTCAGTCTTGTTTGCCATGTCGGCACATACAGAACTACCCCCACCCCAGGGTGGCCATGTGGAAGTTCTTTGGTGGGCAAAATGGCACGTGTGGTCACGGTGTATCTCTCCTGTTCTCCACCAGGTGGAGCTGTTGGAGGCGCTACTCAACTACTACATTCTCAACACCCTCTACCCCAAGGTCAACGGTGAGAGTTGCTAGGGATTTTTCCATGTCAAGGAAGACAGTGCTCTTTGAGGGAAAAGGAACTGGACTTGGAGCTGGGAAACAGGGCTCTCCTGCAGGTTGAGTGATCTTGGGTTAATCATTGCTCCTCTTTGGGCTTCAGCGGCCTATGAGATGGGCGTTTTGAAGGTGGTCTCCTCTCCCTCCGGGGCTCTAGTGAGGGTTAGGGACTGAGGGACTCTTTGGAACACAGGAAGCCCCCTTCTAAGAGAGAAGGAGGGACTTGCAGAAGTGTGCCCCCTACACCCTGAAATGGCAGGTAAAAGACTGAGGACCAAGCTAATACAGAGGGCACAGGGCAGCCCGTCTCTGAATCCACATTCCCCAGTCAATTGCCAACTCCCTAGTCAGAAAATAAAGCATAAAGCCCTAAACACTGTTTCCACAAAGCCCTGCTTCATTTGGCTGCAACAGAAAGCAGGACGGGGGTGGAGGGCAGAGAGCAGGTGCCCACTAGCTTCTTACCATGAGCGTCTGCTGCCCCATACCTGCTACTCTTCCCATATAGCACCAGGGCTGGGAACCCAGGCTCCTGGAGCAGCCTGCCGGGGTTGATATCCCAGTTCTGGCTGTGTGACCTAGGACAAGTTACTTGGCCACTCAGTGCCTCGATTTCCGTATCGGTAAAATGGAAATAATAGTCTTATCTACCTCGTAATCTTTGGTGATCATTAAATGGGAATAAACTGTGTATAGAGTTGGCAGAGAGAAACTTATTTTTTTCTATTACTTTATTTATAGTTGTTATTTATTAACAAATCTCTCTCCATGTTATGCCTCAACCTCCAGAGAAGTTGGCAGAAGGCTTCCCCCTTCCTCTGCTCAAGGATATTCGGCTCTATGACCCTGTTCTCGAGATCCACAAGGTCAGTGGGTTCCGGTGGGCTTTTGAGGATTTGGGGGGGTGGTTAGTTTTCCAGGTTCAGAGCCATAGCTCAGTGGGCAGGACCCAGCCCGGCCCCGCAGCTCAGAAGGGGGAGGGAGACCCCAGGCATGACTAGACACCATGCCACCACCCACGTGTCCTTCAGAAGTGGCACCCCTCCTGTGGGTGACCTGGGGGAATCTCAAGACCAGCTCAGTTTGAAAACATTGCCATGGCAACAGTGCAGGTTCTGAGAGCCAGTTGTAAGTTTTGAAAATTTCTTCTAAATTCTTTTTCTTTTTAAAGATTTTATTTATTTATTTATTTGTCAGAAAGAGAGAGCACAAGCAAGGGGAGGGGCAGGCAGAGGGAGAAGCAGGCTCCCCGCTGAACAGGGAGCCCAGTGGGGGTCTTGATTCCAGGACTCTGGGATCATGACCTGAGCTGAAGGCAGACGCTTAACCGAAGGTTCATAGAACCATTAACAGAACCGACAGTTCTATCCATCAGAGACATCATTTACTGAACTATTTCCACACCAAAGAATATATCTGATTCTTCACTCTTCTCTCCACTATTCTGACCAAGTATTTTCTGGTCAGTCTGTGCCCACGGTTCAGGTTATCTTTCTAGAATAGAATCTGTAAGGTGGGATGACTGGGTCGGTAGCCCCATGAGCAGTAAAGGAGATGATGCATTGTGTCTGGTACATCGTCAACATCCAGCAAATAACAGTCACTAAAAACAGGGAAGGGCCGGGGCGCCTGGATGGCTCAGTCAGTTAAGCACCTGCTTCGGTTCAGCTCCTGATCGGTTCTGGGATCGAGCCCCACATCGGACTCCCTGCTCAGCAGGGGCGTCTGCTTCTCCCTCTGCCTCTCCCTCTGCCCCTCCCCCTGCTCGTGCTCTCTCTCAAATAAATAAGTAAAATCTTTAAAAAAAAAAAAAAAGACAGGGAAGGGCAGCAGCATGGTCAGGGACATGGACACAATGACCGACTGCTGTGTTTGAAAGACTAATATCCAACGTCCTTTTGGACCCAGGGATGCTCAACATCCTACTGCTGAGAGTTTACAAGCAGTCAGATAGCTGGTTATTTGAAGTAAGACCTGACAATTCATGCAGCTGGCCTCAGCTGGGCACATGGGAAATCATCAGAAGATTTATTATATACTCTCATGTTCAGCAGACTTTTGAGGTCATTTGTTTGATGCCCAAAGGCAAGGGCTGGATCACTGTGGGAGAGAATTGGACTTTGCCTCCAGTTCAGAGTTTCCGCCCCTTCGGGTGATGGAAACTTCCAAGGAGGTAGGAGAGTAAACCTCAGTGGCGCACAATTTTGTGTTATTCGCGAAGGAGAGAAAATTTAGGTGACACAAAGGACATTTATGGGGCCTGCCAGGAAGCAGCAGTAGCTTGGGAAATGACAGATAAATTGCCACCTTTGAGAAGGTGGCTGGAAAAAGCTGTGCTTTATGGAGACCTTGGGGATGGAGGCGCATTCAAGATTTATGCATTGACCTGGTTTCTGGCAGAGCTCATGCTCCCACCAACGTGGGCCTCCCTTTATATTGGAGATGCATTTTTTTGGCATAGGGGATGCTTTTGACAAGCTGTCCTGTCTTGTCTCTCCTAGGACTTCCTGTTCCTGGGCACCAACCTCCAGTATGTGAGAGCTTGAGAGCAGGGACACAGCCGGGGTTTGGAGGCCACAGCTGGATCGGCAACTTGCATTTCCAGATGTGCCGTGTATTCCCAGTGATTCTGGGAAGATGAAGACTTCTCTGTTCTCAGCTCCGGGGGAGAGGTCCGCCTGGCCTCTGCCCCCACACTGCTTCTCTTCAGCAGGTGCGCCCATACCCTCTCTGACTCTGGGCTTCAATGCCCCCACCTTCCCGCCCTGGCCTGGACTATCTTTAAGGGCGGGCATCATCTTTTTTAGTCACCATCTGATCCCTGTACCTGGAACTTAGTAGATCCTCAATAAATATTTATTGAATGGTTCAATGAAGGAACCAGTTGGTGTTCTCGATGAACCTCCTTACCACCCACCCTCTTTTGTCTGAGGGGTCTTTGGATGGTCAGCCCCATCCGTGGTCTCACGGACGCCCACCCAGCCCTGGTCCTGGCTCTAATGCCCGCTCTGGAAGGTGCTTGTCTCTCTTGGTGCACGGGCAGCTCAGGGGCTCGCTTCAGTGTGCGCTCCCTCCCTCACGTCTTGCCTGCAGCACCCAAGGGAACCAGTGGGTCTCCCAGAGCCAAAACTCAACCTCCTGCTGTTTTCCCCACTGAAATGGGTGTAAATTAGGAGGAAATGGATCCCTCTAGGTTTTTGGTCCGACCCAAATAAAAAGCTCATCCAACTGTTGTTTATGAGCCCCAAGCCCGGAGGAAGAGGCCATGATTTCTAATTACTGAACAACCAGCCTTTGATCAGACTTACTAAAGAGTCATTTCCAAGTTATGTAATTGGGCCCCCGGGAACTGGGAATCAGAAGACTCGTTTGATATATTTTTTTATTGTGTTAATGAGCAGTTGGATGGAGCTGCGGGCTAACAGATCATTCACAGGGAATAGACCCATTTACCCTTTGTGTGACAGAGACATGTTCCAAGATGGGACAATGCGCAGTCACCCAGCCGTTGGCAAAGTAGGCCATGGCTTTGTGTCCTCCCTCCTCTTTCCTTTGGTTCACTCATCCACTTACATCATCCATCCCTATGGTGGACAGGTGACAGACTTGGGCCTCGTCCATTACTAGCCATGTGGCCTTGGGCAGGTCCCTTCCCCCACTCAGGGTCCTCATCTATAAAATAAGGGTGATAATGACAATAGCCACTTCCCGAGCCTGCTGTCATGGTGATATTGGGTAATCCATGTAAAAGGACTTATTTAGCTGCACTGGGCATTTGATACTTATTGGCTGGACGTGCTTACTGAGCATCTCCTGCTTGTAGACTCAGCATGGGAGAAGTAGAGGCAACATAGACCCAGTTCCAGTCCCTGCTCTTAAGAGTGTTGCCTCAGGTGTGGTGGAAGGAGCCAGCCTCGACTCCAGTGTACTTGTTTTGGGCCCCCGGGCAAGTCCCGTGTCCTCACCTGTCAACTGTGGCTGCGAATCCCTCCTCGCAGGGCGACTAGGGACTCCAGGACTTCCTATCAGGCCCTCGGGGTTGCCCGGGCCATACTAGGTGCTGGTAAACGGCTGATGCGATTATCACCTGCCTTACTTTGGGCTCCTCAGAAGCAGCCCCGGGCACAAGGAGGTGAGTACAAGTAATTTATTTGGAGGAAGATCCCGGGAAGTTCTAGTGGAGGAGAGAAAATGGGATGGGTGGGGGAAAGCAGCCAAAAAGGGTATATGATCAAACCACGGGTGACCGCAGCTTAGTTCTCCTGGGGAAACTCTGGGAGCCAATGCAGAATGCTCCTCAGAGTGCACACCCAAGGGCCACGGAAGCTGGAGTATTTATATACCATCTCCCACCACTCACTCGTGGAAGGGAGCTTCTGGGGGACCTGAGTTCTCTGGTTCTCCTAGTCTTTGCAGAGAGGGCTCTAGCAACCATAGAAACCTCTCAGGCAAAGAAATACAAATGTCAGCAAGCAGAAATCAGGTTGGTGTACACGGCTGTGGGAAGATGGGTGGGGCCTGACATGGCCCGCACACGGTCCCACAATGGAATAGGAGCTCACCAGCTCAAAATCCTGAACGTGCTAGAAAACTGTTTGCCACAATGCCTGGAAAAGTTGTTTTCCTGCGCATATTTTTAAGAAACTTAGGCCAGTTTGCAAGCAAGCCTGCCTTCTGAACATTCTAGGACATTCCAGAACATCCCAGGGGATGGGTCCAAGAAAAGACTCAGGGGAGCCCAGGCAAGTCCTTGATGAGTATGGGGCAACCATTTTGCTATGAGACAGGGGAAGAGCACTTATTTGTAAAAGAACAAAATATTTGTTATTTATAAAGCAAGGAAAGGCCGTTCTTACCCAGTGAGACTAAACACATTCATTTAGTAACAGAGTGTCATCATATCTTGCTGGGCTAGGTCCAGGGCACCCACAGCTGGCTCATAACAGGTTCCAGCACCTTGAAGTCTGACTGTGGGTATGACTATCCTGGACAGCTCAGACCTGTAGAGAAGGGCTGGCTTTGGGACAAGACAGTCTGCTATTAATGATCAGAACTCTGAGCTGTCACAGAACCCTCGTGAGGCCACAGTCTCATTGCACCATGGACCTCAGCCTCCCACCAAACTACAGTGCCGCCCTGGAGACCCTCCTCTTGACGGCAAGCTGTAGCTCCCCCTTTGCTCTTCCCTGACTTCCCCACGCCCCCTCCTTACAGCTACACAGAATTTCACGCTTGTGTGTATACAAGACAACTTCCTCTTTCTTAAAGATGCATAAGGCTTCCTGGTGAGGAGATGCCACAGTGTATTTAACCAATCCCCTACCGATGGGCTCTTAACGTTGTTTCCAATACTCTGCTTTTATAAATAAGGAGTCCACCTCCTCCTTTTAACCAAAGTCTGGCATTTTCACCAAAAACTTACATGTGATTTCTGAGGCCTGACCATAGACGATTAGAAAGGCTTTCTCTGATAGGCCTCCCGGAGGAAGGCTGGCCTCCCTGCACCAGACCTGGTGAACAGCCAGTGCGTTGTATCTGGGAAGGCTTCCGCCCGTCATGCTCTTTGCATATTTGCATCCCTCGGTCTAAGTCTCTCCATGTGAGGCCCTCGGTAAAGGCTTCTTTAGGCGCCTCTGCCAAGGACCCTTCACAGGGAGAGAAGGGGGATGCCTTGCAGACACTTTTCCCCGACCATGACTCAGTACTCAGTACTCAGTACTTTCTACTCCCAGCCCTTCCCCCCATCACTCCCTGCTGGCCCAGGGTCCATAAAACTGCCAGGGGCTTCCTCAGCCGTGAGATGGTCCCCACGTCTACACTGATCCATCTGATCCACCAGCATGCCATTTCAAAGGGGGAAAGGGAATAGGGGGGTCTCGGTGCTTTCTCTGGCTTGATCCTTTGCTTACACTATCAGAGTGAATGACTGAAGGCCTCCCTCTTACTTTCATTTTGGCTTGTTGTTGCTGTAATCAGCATCTCCAACACCTGGCAGCTCAGCTCTGTCTCCAGCTCAGCCGAGCTCTTGACAATAAATAGTGCTTCAGTGAATAGCTTTATCCATACATCACTTCTATTCACACATCCACTCATGTATAGGTACAGATACATCTGGAAAATTAATATCCAGAAATGGAATGCAATAATTGAAGGAATCTCTTGCATAATTTAGCCCGTGGGTATGGGCTCATGGTCCCTCCTCTTACACACTCCCCCTTTCCCCCAAGCTGGGGCCTGAGTACCCATGAAATCAGGCAGTGGAGTGGGGGGGCTTCTGCAGTAAACAATTCAACCCTGCCCAAAATAGCGGTCTGATCTTTACCCTCAGCCCAAGAGCTAATCTCTAAGCCCTTGGGAAGTCTTGCTTGATTGGAGTGTCTTTGTCTACCTGGGGGCATTGGACCATGCCCGTCTAACAGTGTAATCTGTGCTAGGGGCTTTGGGTTACATGGCATCACCTGGGCCTCTGCAGGGGCTGCAGACTGCAGTCACCCACGTGGGTGCTCAGTAGTGCCGACAGATGAAGCCCCAGTAAAGACTGGAAGCCAAGGCTTGGGTGAGCCTCCTGGTCGGCAACACTCTATGTACATTGTTACGCACTGATGCGGGGGATGGGAGGGCATGGGGATGGAGTAAGGCTGTCCAAATATCCACAAGGAGAGGTTGACTGAAACTCTGTGTTTGGAACTTTCCTGGGCTCTGCCCTATGGACCTCTTCCCTTGGCTGATTTTAATTGGTATCTTTTACTTTTAACAAGCTGTCACTATGAGATGAATAGGTTTCGGTGTGTCCTAGGCGTCCTTCCGCGAATTACGGAATGTATGGGTGGTCTTGGGGGCCTTCAAACGTGTAGTGGGTGTCAGAAGACAGAGATCTCCACAAGATCACTGCCAGCTGACTCATCTTCAGCTCTGCTCCTGTTGGCACTGCAAACTTCAGAATCCACTCTGGTCAGTATAGGCAGGAAGGGGGTTTCAGCCTCCAGGGCCTGGAAGACCATGGCTGGTTGCAATGACCTTTATGCATATGTTTCCAGACCAGACCTATCCTGAGACCCCGACCTATCCCTAACTGCAGGCCTGACATGCCCCTCGGGCTGACTGGATTTGGGGGGTACACGGGGCCTGTGTGACAAAGGTATTTGTAAAGGCATCCTGAGGATTTCCCCCAGAGTCTGGTGCATAAATCTCCCCCCCAGCACATCCACCTGGGTCTGCTTCTCAGAGCCCGCACAGCGATGCTGGTAATAAAACACAGCAGAACAGAAAACTGCTTTATGGGCCAGGAGGAAACGATTTCCCACCCGGGACCACTAAAGAATCCAGGGCTCACATCTCTACCTCCCTTAGAGAAGGCTTTCCTCCCAGCTCAAGTGATCTCCTGGGGCCCTTAGTGCAGACCTATCAGCAAAAATCCCAGGGACAGGAAGGCTGTTTTTAAAAGGATGATCTTGCTGGGGCGCCTGGGTGGCTCAGTCGGTTGAGCGTCCCACTCTTGGTTTCGGCTCAGGTCACAACCTCAGGGTCGTGAGATCCAGCCCTGCGG